TGCATATTATGTAAGGTGTGGCTATATAAATATATGTACAACTCTGTGTATATGTGTTTATGGACAGGCGTGCAATGTAGTGACAAGAAAGTAGCCTTGCAGGGAAGGAAAGACCTGAATCTCTCATGGTTGGGGGTTGGGGGATGGTGTGTTTGCACAACAAAAGCAGGAGAACAATGGAGCTGAAGACCTGTGAAAATCTCAGCGGGGTGCCAAGAGGTGTTAGGGTCGGGGGAATTTGCGCAGGGCTAGTAAATCTAGTAGTAGGGACTTGCACCAGGGAAAAAAAGGCTCAGTAATTCTAGTGTTATGGATCAAACCTCTACCAACATGACATTGATTATGCAACTCTAAGCATATATGAGTAGATATTTCTAAGCATAAATGACAATCAACAATACAAATCTAACATCTGCAGTTCCACACTCTCATGGGAAACTACATTCTCCCCCTCCAGTCTCTTATCCTCCTGCTCCTGCAGTAACAAAACAACACAAAGCATCCACCGTCTGTTGCAGGCTGGATGAATTGTTGCTCAACATTTACTACTCGTAAGGTCGGCTCGGGACTCATGTGATCAGTGTCCCCTATAAGTGAATTTCTCCCAAGCCCATTATAATCATGGAGAAGCACACTTTGCGACTGTTTTCAGTAAGAACATTTCATAGCGCTTTAAATTTCAATCTTTCAGGCCTGGTTTAAAGAGCTAATTATTAAATCATGAACTCACAAAATATCAAAATATCACCTCTTGTGGATCACATCTCTCAGTGCACTGTAACAAAAGCAAAAACAAACGTAACCAATAAAATACTAATATAATAACACATACTAGGGCCCGTTGCAGACATGTCCAAACATAAAACCATCTCTCTCTCTCTCGTAGAGAAAGAAAACAACCCAAACCTCACTGATAAAATCAACCTACTACTCAGCAAAACCCAAAAATCAGTGAGAAATTCACAGGAAGGTTTTGCTTCCTCCCGGGACAACATTGTGTGGGAATGAGAACATCAGGTACTGTAGCACCTTTTGTTCCTTCTTGAATTAAGTCTCAATCACAGAAAATGTGGCGCTCCGAAATAAAACTTACATTCAAACTTCATCATTTTCACTCTGTACCACTGCTCCTCATCAGGGCTGTGTCAAGCACAGTAAACATTTCAGTCGAGGCCTTGAGCCATAAAGAGACATCACGCACAGACATTCTTTTCATAACCAAACAATTTTAGACCTTGTTCCTTAAATCTACCTAAATGCCCCCTGGGTGACATAAAACACATTCTAAGTAATCAATGGCTTCTTGTAACAGATTCTATATTTGGATGTTTGTGTGCAGCATTTCACATATCAGCATAAGCATTTGTTAGCAAAGCATTCTTCATTGCATCAGCGTGTGTGTGTGTGCATCACTCTTCATTGCACGAGCGTGTGCACGTGTATTTGTGTGTGTCACTTCTCAGTGAATCAGCGTTTCAGTTTAGGTGTGTGTGTCATTTCTCACTCAATCAACAACTGCACATGTGTTCATGTGTGTGTATCACTTCATTCTGGATCAGTGTGTGTGTGTGTGTGTGTGTGTGTGTGTGTGTGTGTGTGTGTGTGTGTGTGTGTGTGTATCTTTCATCACTTTCCTGTTCTTGTGTTTTGGGTAAACCACTGCCTGAAGCATACAGAGAAAAAACAAGAAACAAAACAAAAACAGACGAACAGGAAAATGATGTTGTGTTGGTTGTGTTACAAAGAGAGGGAAGAAACACCAAGCCAGGCCCTGTGTCAGCCTTCCCTTCCCCCCCCTTTTTTTTTCTCACAATATAATCAACTCCTAGCCCACCAAGTTGACAGGACAACACAGATACATGTTTAAATTCTTAAGATCATGTTTAAACTCACAAAAGAGAATTTTCCTTCCTTCATTAATTACTTGTGTTGTTCAATCAGCAGAAAACCTCTCACAATTTGACTCTCTTAACCACTAAATTTATTGTTTCATCACTGGTTGGTCATACCAGTCTCTTTCTTTTCTTTCTTTTTTAAGTTGTTGTCCTGCAACCCAGAGAGTTCATTTGTTAGTAGCATATAAACTTCACCATTTAATAACAGGTGTATTTTAAGTTCTCTCTCTCTGTGCCTCCCCGGCCAGCCCAGTATGGCCACAAGTGTTTGTTGTTTTACTCTCTCTCTGCTCCCCTCACCTTGCTCTCTCTCTCTCCTACCTGTCTGCCTGGGCGGAGCTCTGATTGGGCTCCCGCCCTTGGCCCACGCACCTGCAGCTGATTTCTGGTGCTTTGCAGCTCTTCTTGAGGCAGGGGCTCTGAGCTAGTTGTCGCTGGAATATTGAGTGACTCTCGTTAGTATTGCCTGGCGTCATTGCGATTCTGTTGTTCCCGTGCGTGTCTTTGACTTACCCTCGTCTGTGTTAATAGGTTTACCTGGATCAGCCCTTTTGTGACCCCTGGACCCTGTGAGTGTGAGTGGGCTGCTAGTGCGAAGAAGTGTGTTTCCCGGGACCCTGGTGCCCCCCCGTGTACGTAGCGCACCAGTGTGATTAATAAAGTGTTGTTTAACCGTGCCTTCTTAGTCTGTGCCAAACATTGTTCAGACTTGTTATGATGGGGCTTATGGTCACATTCTTATGGGTACCAGCGCATCGTGGAGGTAAAGGAAATGAAATGGCAGATAGGACAGCAAAAGTCGCAACAAGGAGACCGATGGTATTTGTGGTTATTAGTGTGACTAAGACAAAGCTCAAGAGTACAGTATGATACAAAATGAAGGAAAGGTGGCAAAAGCAATGGGAGGAAGAGAGGAAAGGGCGATGGTTTTATAAAATCCAAAGGAAAGTGGGGAAAATGAGAAGTACAGGCCGAAACATGATAGAGGATACGATTATATCTCGACTGAGTTTCGGACACACTGGTTTAAATAGCACCTTGTTTTTAATAGGTAAACACTGTACAGGGGAGTGTGGCTGCAGTAGGGAACAGGAAACAATAGAACATGTTTTCTTGAATTATCTGAGGTTTGATATTGAAAGGAGACAAATGATCAAAAAGCTGGACGATATGGAAGTGAAGTTGGACTTGATTGATTTGTTTTGCACGACCTCTTTAAGTGAAAGTTATCAGGCTGTATTTTGGTTTTTAAGGCAGACCCATTTGTTCGAGAGGATTTTATTTATTTATTTATTTATTTTGTCTTTTCTGTCCACACTCCACACCAGTTAGTGGCGGTAATGCACCATTTTGCTGTTTGCCAACCGCCTGTAAACCCTATACGGCAGAAGAAGAAGGGGGCGGAGCAAAATGTGTTAGCAGGAGAGGAGTCGAGCAGAGAGAGCTCCTTTTTCATGAAACGGGAGTAAAGTAGTGAACTCAGAGGAGAGAAACGAACTAAAGTATCGATCATAAACCACTACCAACGTCCTGATCGATATCTGCATCGATCTGCCCACCCTTGTCTCCTGGATCGTAGCTGAGATCAGCGTGAACCACGTGGGTCTCTGCTCCCTGATCTGTTTCCTGTGTTTGGAAAGAGTTGCAGCTTCATCGCGGAGTTTCTCTCGGTTTGTGGGCTCATCTAAAGGTAAGCACCGAGCTAACTTTACTGTGAGTTCAGTTCATGTTGAGTTTAGCTCCTGAATGAGGTCTTCTGCTGCTCTCCTCGGTGTCTGTTCACAGTTTATTGTGAACACGTTGAGAGAAGAGTGAGAGAGTGTTTGGAGAAAAACACCAACTAATCATTAGCTCAGCATGCTGGGAGAAGTTGGAGCAGAAAAGTCTTTTCATTGTCCCTGCAGCTGTTTTTCTGCCTGCACCAAACCTCTACAGCCTCGTTTCTATTTAAGTGATAACAGGAAATCAGAGCGATCTGGTGCAGTATCAGGGTCACTATAACTTTATTGTCCAGCTGCTGTGGATGAACACATGAGAGGAAGTGAAATGCCTGGCTGACAACTGTATAAAACAAAAAGTACACACAATATTCGAGGCACATAGTGTGTTACACCCCTGAAAACGAGAAATATCAACTTTTAAACACTTTTACCTGAAAGCAAGGGGAAAAGAATCACGAGAGTGATCATGACTCATGCAGTAGTTTATTACAGTGAAAATGAACAGAGACGTTTCACATTCTGTACTGCTAAATGTCACGTGGTGGAAGAAAAACACTAAATAATAAACCAAAACACTAAAGTGATTACAGTGCGCCTCAGGGCTGTGGCTACAATGTAGCTGCCATTGCCAGTGTGTGAATGGGTGGATGACTGGATATGTAAAGCGCTTTGGGGTCCTTAGGGACTGAGTAAAGCGCTATACAAATGCAGGCCATTTACCATCTTACCATATATGCCAGAACAGGTTTCCTGACAAAATAGCTGACAATAGCGGCGTTTTTAGCTCCTGCCGTTATCTTACTGGCCACTACACAGTACAAAACTGAGGCTCAAAACCGCCACGTATATGCGCACAAATACAATGTTTCTAAACTCTTACAAAACAATGAAGGATTACCTCTTAAATATCTTAACAGTGTACACATGGGAAATATATCAACTTTTAAATACTTTTACCTGAAAACAGGGGGGAAAAGAATCACGAGAGTGATCATGACTTGCGTCTCTCATGCAGTCGTTTATTGCAGTGAGGAGAACGCGCGAAACTCTTAACCATTTTCTTACCATATTTACATTATTTTTTCCTTATATCAGCTGATATGAATTAGTATTAACTGAACAGTTTTATATGCAGTAGTCCTTCAACCTGGCACAAGTGCACACTGTGGGAATTTACGACTGTGCGTAAATCCCCCCTAATATACTTATGATCCAAGCTCAGGCACTAAGCGACTGAGCGAAGGGGCGGGGCAGCTGGTGCCTGCGAGTGGGCTGTTGGAGAAACGCAGACAGAGCAGAACTGAAGTTTGAGCAGGTACCAAAGCAAATCATTCGTGCCGTACAAATAATGTAAATATGACGGTGTATCACGAAAGATTGATATCAAACTGATCACTTGACCAATATTACGTTACTTGCTCTTCAAGTGAATCAACAAATGGCAAAATGAAAAGCCGAACAACAACAATGCTGTCTTTTAGAGAGTCTTAGCTTACATGTGTGTTTATTTCATATTTTCAGTTGTTACCCTCCACAGCTAAATAAATTGGTTTCCGCTGTCTATTTTAATCACTTTCATCAAGTGTACATATGCACTAAGTTTATTGTTAATTAATAAGAAAACTCCAGACGATTCCATTCTGAGCTGAAGAAGCTTCTGATAGGTTAGTAGAGTCCATGTGAGTAAA